GACAGCGCTGGCTCTTCGGCTTTGAAACGATGAGCACCGCAACCCTAGAGTCGGATTCAACTGGCTTTCGAGCAAGGGAACTTTTATCTTTATATCTGTTGTAGTGTATCTTACATTTGTTTTATTGCTCCTTTTTCTTGATTATAAAACCAGCAGCTGTTGCAGTATTGCTATTGTTGCTGGGGGAGGGAGAGCAGCATGGTATAGCCCAATCTCATCAGATCTGAGAAGCAGTGTTCCCTCTTAGCTGAGTTAGTGTGAGCTAGCTCACAGTCTGTTAGCTTCCAGCTCACACATTGTTGTCTTAGCTCAGGAAGGATGGATGGCCCCAGCGCAAACTAACTTATGCAGTAGCCAAATCACTTGCTCACAACTTTAATGCCAGTAGCTCACAAAGTGGAATTTTTGCTCATAAGACTCCACAGCTTAGAGGGAGCATTGCTGAGAAGTTAAGCAGGGTTGGTACTTGGAAGGGAGACCACCAAGAACGAGCCTGCAGAGGAAGGCAATGACAAATCACCTCTGCTTCTCAATTGCCTTGAAAGCCCTTTACAGGGGTTGCCATAAGTCGGCTGCAACTTGACGGAACATCACACACACACACACACACTCACACACACACACACACACACACACACTGTTGCTGGTGTTTTGGCGCAAATGTTTTTCTTGTGCACTATCTCCAGAGCTTTATACATAAGTTTAAAAAGTCTTTCACCCTGACCTGGATAGCCCAGGCAAGCCTGATCTCGTCAGATCTTGGAAGCTAAGCAGGGTTGACTCTGGCAGGTACTTGGATGGGACACCTCCCTGGAATACCAGAAGTCGGGAGGAGGGGGCAGGCATTATTCAGCCACCTCTCTGAATATCCTCCAGGCCCCCAGTAGGGATCAGTCACCAGAGGTTGCCATGACTTCCAGGTATGTGTGTGCACGCACACGTGCGCGCACACACAATAATACCAAAAAACCCTTTCAAATAAAATGAAAATAAATTATTTTATGCTGCCCTTCCTCTAAGGAGTTCACAGTAGCACACATCGTTCTCGCCACCTCCTCCATTTTACCCTCACCACATCCTTTTCAGGAATAGGCCTCACCTAGCCACTAGGCAAACCTAGAGATGTCCTGCTGACCTGGTCCATTATGGAAAGCAGCAACCCTGGGAGACACCCCCCCCCCCAGCCCAGTGGGCAGCTGTGGGAGTCCTGGCCTTTCCTCCCCTCCATATTACCTGGACTCCAGTGGGGGGTCCCGGTCCTTCTTGATGACATCACCCAGAAGTCATGTCATTGCACATGGCACATTGCAGGGGATGCTCTATCGACCATCCCCCCGCAACATGCCCTGCACAATGATGTCACCACCAGGTGATGTCGTTGCACCAGGCATGTTGGTGCACAAGCAGCACTTTGGGGGCGGGGTTCCCCCCACTGGCTCGATCGAGGCCGGCAGATTGAGGGCCACGAAAGCGAGAAAAAAACCGCCCCCATCAGGGGAATGGGAACCCTAATCAGGTGGCAGGATGGTGGGCAGGCCTGGACCTCTTCCTTTTTTCCTCTGCCTCACCTAGCTACCATGCCAGGGGATGAGGCAGATGGGCACCTCCTTGCTTTGCATCACCTCACCTCATTGCTGCCTCACCAGGAGATGAGGGAGCTGGGCACTGCCTCACCTGACTTGTGGTATGGTGTGGTGTGGTGTGGCAGAAGGAGGGCAGAAGCAGCTGCTTCCCCACGGTGAACCTTGCTGCAGGGTGAGGAGGGTGGAGGAGGAGGGCCACCTCATGTAAACCCAGATGAAGCTACCTCATGCTGAGAGCAAATGACAAGTCCAGTCTCACCTAGTGAGATTCATGACTGAATAGGAATTTGAATCCAAATTTTCCAGTCACATCCCAACACTCTGCCATCTTAGGCAGATCAGGCTATTGAAGCCCTATCTTTCCCCCCAGGACTTAGCTACAGTGACCCACACAATGGTCCCTTTCAGGCTTGAGTATTGTAACTCGCTCTATACAGGCTTACCCCTGAAGCTGATCTGGAAATTACGGCTGGTGCAAAATGCGGTGGCATGCCTGCTAACATCGACACCTGTGCGGGTTCACGTTCGGCCTGTGCTTTACCAGCTGCATTGGTTACCAGTTTTGACTTAATTTCAACCCATTGGTTGTGGTCTGACCTTCTGGGGCAACAGAAAACAACTCCACACCATTCTCTATATGACAACCTTTCAAGTATTTGAAGGTGGTTATCATATAATCTCTCAGTCATCACCTTTTCAGGCTAAACATCCCCTGCTCCTTCAACATTTCCTCATAGGACTTAATCTCCAGACACCTCACCATCTTCCTTGGCCTCCTCTGGACATGTTCTAGCTTGTTTATATCCTTAAACTATGGTGTCCAAAACTGAGCACAATACTCTAGGTGAGGTCTAACAAGAGCAGAGTAAAGTAATACCATCACTTAGAATGATCTGGACACTAAAGTTCTGTTGATACAGGCCAAAATCACATTTGCCTTTTTAGCTACCACATCACACTGCTGACTCGTGTTCAGTGTATGTTCTACTAAGACCCCTAGATCCTTTTTGAATATACTACTGCCAAGACAAGTCTCCCCCATCCTATGATTATGCATTTGATTTTTCCTACCATAAATTAATTTTATTTGTTTTAGCCCAGTTTTCCAGCCTGTCAGGATCATCCTGTATCCCGACTCTGTCTTCTACCATATTTGCGACCCCTCCCAATTTAGTATCATCTGCAAATTTAATAAGCGTTCCCTCTATTCCTTAATCCAAATTATTTACAAAAATATATTTTTATTTTATTTATTTATCATTGGATTTATATCCCATCCTCCCTGCAAGTAGGTTTAGGGCAGGTCACAACAGTTAAGATACAATACATACAGAGTTAATACTGTATGTAATAATTACGGTATATAAATACAATTCATACAGAGTTAAAATTTCTAAAACCAACAGATAGCAGAAATTCAATTTCTGGCATCCACAAATGCCTCCCACAAGTGCAGAACAAAATAGGTCCCAGGACAGATCCTTGAGGCACTCACTTGTCACTCCTTTCCAAGAAGATGAGGAACCATTAATAAGCACTCTTTGGGTGTGATCTGTCAACCAGTTACAGATCCACCTAACAATAACATGATCCAAACCACATTTAACAACTTGTCAACAAGATTATGTGGGACCTTTTCAAAAACTTTACTGAAATCAAGATAAACTATGCCTACAGCGTTCCCCTGATCCAGCAAGGTAGTAACTTTCTTAAAAAAAGATATAAAGTTAGTCTGACATGACTTGTTCTTAAGAAACCCATGCTGGCTCTTAGTAATCACACCCATCCTTTCTTGATGTCAAGCTGATGGGTTGGTAGTTACCCAGATCCTCCTTTTCCCCTTTCTTGAAGGTGGGGACAACATTTGCCCACCTCCAATCTTCTGGCACCTTACCTGTTCTCCAAGAATTCTCAAAAATAATGGACAGAAGCTCAGGAATTACATCCGTGAGTTCTTTTACTACTCTTGGATGTAGTTCATATGACCCTGCGGACTTAGTTTCATTTAAAGAAACTAAGTGTTTATATACTACTCCATGCTGATCCTAGGCTGCAACTCCCTTCCCTCATCATGTGTTCTGTTTTTGCCATGTTGAGCACTGTTTTCCTCACAGGAGAAGACTGAGGAAAAGTAGGATTGAGCAGTTCTGCCCTCTCTTCATTACCTGTTACAATTTCACTTTCCTGTTTCCGCAATGGACCTACCATGTCCTTGCTCTTTTTCTTACTTTGAACATAGCAAAAGAACCCTTTTTTGTTGTTTTTAGCATCTGTCGCTAGCCTAAGCTCATACTGAACTTTAGCTTTCCTAACTCTCTCTCTACAAGCACTGGTTATTTGTTTATATTCATCCTTGGTTATATGGCCCTCCTTCCATTTCCTAAAGGAGTCTTTTTTATTTTCTTTTTGTATTTCCTCACAAGTATATACCTCCTTTACATACAATGCTACTCCTCCCCCCTTTTAAACAAGTTGTACCCCTGAATCCTTATATTCCAATTGTGAGTGTCATCCCACCAAGTTTCAGTAATGCCTTTTAGGTCATAGTCCCCTTCCCGTGTTAGGACTTCAAGTTCCTCCTGCTTGTTTCCCATATTCTGTGCCTTAGTTTAGAGACATCAGAATCCATGTTTTATGTCCCCTGAGGTTTTAGTTTCTGTGAGTTAATGTTACCTAGCATATGTGCCACTCCCTGCAAAACTTTAGCATTCTTATCTCCAGTTATTGGCATCATACTAGGCTTTGGATTTTTGTCTTGCTCCCCCATATAATTTAGTTTAAAGCCCTCCTTATCAGGTTTGTAAGGCTCTTAACAAACACATTTTTCCTGCCCTCATGAGGCACAAACCATCTCCTGATAGAAGAGCTTCATCTTGAAAGCGTAAGCCATGGTCCAAAAATCCAAACTTTTCCTGGTGACGCCAAAATGGAGGAGAAAAGAACTATGTAAGCTGTTTTGGAGGCCCATTTTGGAGAAATGAAATTAATAAAATTAGTAGTGGTAGTGATGAAGTCAACAAAATTATTTGGTAGCGTGGAAGCTTCTATTGGGCATGTGCTTTCCATGCTATTCTATTAAAGTCAGAATTTTCAGGTCACATGGGAGAAACCCATAATGCAGCACTTTAGAGTGTCAGCATTGTTCCAGGGAGTGCTAACACTGGCATGGGAAGGAACTTGATCTCTGGACCCTTCAAACAAACAAGCCTCCCTCCCCATCCACAACTCAGGGAGAAAACTGAATATGCCCACTGATGTATTTTGTATTCAAAAGGAGTTTATGTCCTTTCTAAGTCTGTTTTTCAAATGGAGAATAGTTGCAGGATAAATGACATGGGCCTCTGCTGTGAGAAACAATTGCAGCAGGAAGATTCCATTGCATCTGGTATTTCATTTTTTTATGTTCTTCTTTTGCAGAGACAGACTGTTGAGCTGATTCCTGTCACAGAAGTTCACTATCAATATGCAGGAAAGATGTACCTGTATTATGTCTATGGAATGGAGAACAAGGTGTATGCCCTGGATTATCCAGAGAGGTACTGCTGTGGCTGTACCATCATCTGACAGTGAAATACATGGCAAAGAGGAGGATTCCCTTAGTACAAAGCAAGCTATTTTTTTTACTAAATTATCTGACTTGTAATGCAGTCGCAGAGCTAAGCATCAGAAGACACAATAATTATAACTTCCCAAATCTTGTTTATGCTACAGTTTCCACAATTACTATAATTCATGCTTTAGAATTAAGCATAGAAAATTCCATGTCTAAAAAGAAGCACCATAGGAAGAAACCAAGGAAGAGACGAGAAGAAAAGTACTCCAGAGGATTATGCCTTCAGAATAAAATATGCTAATGAAGCAAATGTGTACAACAAAAGCACTTGATTTGAATGTATCAGATATTTTTTTTTCAAATAAGGGACTCAAATAAGGGAAGTCAAGTTAATGGTCAGCTCTTTCTCAGAGACTCTATTGTATCATGACATATGGGGTGTGTTACTGCTGTCTGAGTATTTTATGTTCGTATACAAAATAAAGTGCATTACCCTGGGCTTGGGATATTTTTATATGAAGAATAGCAAAAGGTAAACATTTCCCTTGCTTGAAAGACAGTTGAATCCGACTCTAGGGTGCGGTGCTCATCTCCATTTCCAAACCAAAGAGCCAGAACTGTCCAAAGACGTTCCGTGATCATGTGGCCAGCATGACTAGACGCCGAGGCACACAGAACGCTGTTACCTTCCCACCGAAGCGGTACCTATTTATCTACTTGCAATTTCTTGCTTTCGAACTGCTAGGTTGGCAGGAGCTGGAACTAGAGATGGAAGGTCACTCCGTCACGCAGCACTCAGGTCTCAAACTGCTGAACTGCAGATCTTCCCATCTGCAGCTTAGCGTCTTAACCTCTGAGCCACCGTGGTAGTATGCCTGGGGATGAACCACTGAGCCACCGCAGCACCCTATATGAAGAATACAATTATATAAAACAAATATTTATCAGCTCTTCTTTTGTTTGCTGATACTCCTCTAGAAAAAGGCAGAGTCTGCCCTGACCTATATAGCCCAGGCTAGCCTGATCTCATCAGATCTCGGAAGCTAAGCAGAGTCAGCCCTGGCTAGCATTTGAATGGGAGGCCACCAACAAAATCCAGGGTCACTATACAGAGGAAGACAATGGCAAACCACCTCTGTTAGTCCCTTATTTGAGAACCCCATGGGATTGCCATAAGTCTTCTGTGACTTGACAGTACTTTACACACACACACAAGGAGAGGGTCTACAATATTATGAAGGGAGGAAGCATCATGAGAGCTCCCTATATGCATTGGGGATGTATTTTCAGAGACTGGGGAAGCAAGGCATCAACTCTACAGATAATTTAAGATTGGATATGAGAGACCAATGTGCTCTGGGGGAGGAAGTATACTTCCATAGGTGACCACTGGGAGACCCATACTCAAGTGCCATTCTCTGCCATTTTGTAGTTTCCCCTGGGTAAATATGTGATCAGTTGTGTCCCATTGCTGTAGGAAAACCAAATGTTTCCAAATGCAAATGCTTCAATGACTCACATGAATAAGTAAATGGTTTATTACAGTCAAAGGCCAACACAGAAGTAAACACAGTAGCAGAACTGATACACAAAAGTGACCCACATGCATTGAGGAATAATTGCTCTTGAGTGCCACAAAATTATCCTACAAAGTTCCTGTTCTGGGGCACCTTCGCAAGGTTTAAAGCCATCTTACTTACCCATGTTATTTGTATCTCACCTTGCTTGTGATATACATGATATACAATTAATTGGAATCTGTATATTCCAGTTCATTGCTTAGTGCATTCATTTGTTGGTGTTGCTGATAGGGTAAGTGATGATTTCCAATAAGCAGGTCACTGTGTGGTAATTCACACAGTTGTTGCTTTTAAGGAGTATACTAGGAAAGTGTTGGGAGACTGTCCTTTAAAGAGTGGCCACCAGAGAGCAGTAGTGGCAAAGATATGTTCTGTTTCGGTTTGATAGAGAACATATTAGTAAGACCATTGCTTTAGCAAAAAAAAAAAACTTAACTGGGGAGGAGGGAAGGTTGTTGCTGAATACCAGCATTTCCCTTGGAAGTCAATTAGCTACACATATGGCACATCCTGCCATCCTGACTCATTCATCTGTATAGGTATGGGTATCATTGAGTCATCCGCAGTATTTAGAAACAAATTCCCAGTTCCAGAATACCTCTGATCCTGAATTTCAGATTTAATAGAGGCCACTGGAGTGTATAGAAACCAAGACAAGTAAATACAGAGAAACTTTGGTGCTCCCATTTCTCAAACTGGGACATAATTATGTTTAAAGGACCATGCACGTGAAGAGCCAATGTGATGCAGTGCTTTTGTAGGACCTGGGAGACCGGGGATTATTTATTTACTTTATTTATGGTCTGCCTTTCTCACTGGGACTCAAGGCAGATTACACAGAGTAAGTCAATAAAGCAACAAGATGGGACACACAATAAACAATGCAATGGGATTTAGGTTGTAGAAATCTGGAACCAACTAAAAATCTGAAAACAGAATTGAACCAAAGCATAAGTATTAACACAATGTGTTAAACCATACAAAAAGTACACCGTAGGATCATGCTTACAGCAACAGGAACTATGAGCTATATACAGTAGAAGAGACTACGGGTGTGCGTTTGGCTAAATCCAATCTGAAAAAATACCCAGAAAATACCTTGTCAGTACTTTTTAGGTATTGATTCAACCGGATATAGATTTCGGATATTGTCTGTCTATCCAAAATGGCCAAGCCCTGAAAGCCACAAAAATATTTGGGATTTTCAGGACCACTGGACAGATGCACTTAAAGGCTATTTAAAGCGATCTCAGTCCCTTTAAATGATTTCTCCAAGCCATGCAACTCTGCAGCTTGGAGAACTCCGAAGGTGTTTAAAAAGCTCACAGTCCCTTTCACCTGAAGGCGTTTAAAGGGACTATGAGCTCTTTAAATACCTTCAGAGTTCTCCAAGACATGGAGTCACATGGCATTTAAAGAAGGCATTTAAAGTGACTGTGAGCCTTTTAAATGCCTTTTTCCTCCATTTATTTATTTATTTATTTTATTTCATGTATACCCCGCCCTCCCCGCACGTGGGCTCAGGGCGGCTTACATAGGCACAGCAGTGCAATACAATACAACAGGATTAAAACAATTAAGGCACCCAAAGTGCGATAAAAACTAAACAGGTTAACCACTTAAAACAGAATTCATATCTTACAGGATACATCGGCGATTAAAATACTCACTCATTACAGTATATCACAGTGAGATCAGAAAAAGAGGAGGGGAATGCCATGGACTAGGCTGTTCCGGGTGGCTAATCAGCCCACCCCGGCAGAACTGCTCTGCAGTGCACACTGGTGGTAATAGTGGCAGCGGTGGCTCCTACTCAAAAGCCTGGCGGAAGAACTCCATCTTGCAGGCCCTGCAGAACTGTAAAAGGTCCCGCAGGGCCCTGATCTCCTCCGGGAGCTCATTCTACCAGGTAGGAGCCGCCGCCGAAAAGGACCTGGCCCTTGTGGCAGCAAGCCTGGCCTCTTTAGGGCCCGGGGTCACTAGGCGGTGTTGTGACCCTGACCAAAGTGCTCTTTGGGGCCTGTATGGGGAAAGGCGGTCCCTCAGGTATGCTGGACCCTGGCCATGTAGGGCTTTAAAGGTAAGCACCAGCACTTTGAAGCGAATCCGGAACGCTATAGGCAGCCAGTGCAGCGCTTTCAATACAGGCTGGATATGATCCCATTTAGGGGCCCCCACAACCAGCCTGGCTGCCGCATTCTTCACCAGCTGCAGCTTCCAAATTTGCGACAAAGGCAGCCCCATGTAGAGAGCGTTACAGTAGTCTAGCCTCAAAGTGACCATCGCATGGATCACTGTGGCCAGATCGTCACGGCTAAGGAAGGGGACCAACTGCCGCACCAGCCATAGATGATAGAAGGCTGCTTTGGCAGTGGCTGCTACCTGGGCCTGCATCATTAAGGTGGGGTCCAGGAGCACTCCCAAACTCCTAACCTCCGAAGCCGGAACCAAAGGTGCCCTATTGAAGGCCGGGAGTGGGAGCCCCAATCCCATGCCACCCCGACCCAGGCACAGGACCTCCGTCTTCACCAGGTTCAGCTTCAGCCGTCTCAGCCTGAGCCACCCAGCCACGGCCTGTAAAGCCCGGTGAAGATCTTCTTGATCGGAGTCCGACTGGCCGCCTAACATCAGATAGAGCTGGGTGTCATCGGCATATTGATGACACCCAAGCCCATACCTGCAGACAATCTGGGCAAGGGGGCGCATATATATGTTAAATAGCATCGGGGAGAGCACTGCCCCCTGAGGCACTCCACATTCAAGCAGGTGCCTCTGGGACTGCTGCTCCCCTAGCCCAACCCTCTGTCCCCGACCTCGGATAAAAGAGACAAGCCATTGAAGGGTGAGCCCCTGAATCTCCACGTCGGCAAGGCGGTGGGCCAGCAGCTGGTGGTTGACCATATCAAATGCAGCCGACAGATCTAACAACAACAGCGCCACCACACCGCCTTGATCCAGATGTCTACGGAGGTCATCAGTAAGGGCAACCAGCACAGTCTCCGTCCCATGCCCCGGGCAAAAGCCAGACTGGTATGGATCAAGGATGGAAGCATCATCTAGAAAGCCCTGTAACTGCATCACCACCGCCCCCTCAATCAATTTGCCCAAATAGGGCAAATTGGACACCGGCTGATAGGAGAGGCACCAGCAGCTATGCTGCAAATTTGTACCTCAAAAAACAGGGGCCCCCCATTCCAAATACCCCCAGATCAATTCTCCATTATACCCTATGGGGAAAGTTGACTATAGTAGCTCAAAAAACGTGGGTTTCCCAAATATTTCCTGAATCCCAATACCATACTGGGAATATCAGGAAATACAATATTTTTCAGGTTCAATATACCCAAATCTGAAAAATTCTGGGGGTTGCAAACCCTTAGTAGAGACCACAGTCCTTAACCCCTTACCCAAGTAACTTTCTGAACCATTTT